CACCCACCCACCCGGGCCAACCTTTTGTCCTCCTACCCAGCCCTCTAGCGAAACAAACAGATCGAATAAATAGCTAGACCATACATGACCCTCCCCCCTCTTTAGGCTTTGTTGAACCCCAAGCAACTACAGACGTGGAATTTTTAACCTTTTTCAATTTCCTACACTTATCCCAACAATCAAACGGCAAAATCACCCTAAAACCCTAGCATAATACCTTACAAAGGCTTATTTCAATTTCTAAAAGACAAAAAAAAAAAATTTAATCTTGACACGGAACCCTAGTTTCTCACCAAAAACCGCTATTCAGGTAAGTATATGTACAGTTATAAAGAGAGAACTAACCGTAGTCGGAGCGAGGGCGTTTTCCGGCGAGAGGAAGAGCCACCTGCTGCCTACCGTCACCGTACATCCAATACGCATCCGCCATTGTTATTGTAGTCGGAGCGCTAGAGAGAGCGAGTACCACCTTATTCAGTTTTTCAAGCGGCCCCTTTGTGCACCCAATGTTCGATTTTCTGCCGGCTGAGTGACCTTTTTATTTAGGTTTACGCACTTGCCTTGGCAATTTGTTTCATTTTGGTCCATTCAGTGCAAAACAGCATAATTAATTCATTTTGATTTTTCAAAATGAATAAGGGTAAAAACTTTTCTTTTTATTGTCAGATCGAAACGAATCAGAAAGTCAACCGCTACCCTCTAATAAAAAATTACTTCAATAATAAAGTTTAAAGAACGGGTTATTCTTATATCAATTTAAATAGATAGAATGTTTTGCTCAAAAGTTTATACATCTTTCCCTTGTTATTGTTTACAAATAAATCACAAAAATAGAAAATAGAAAATCTATACAATCTTAAGCTAACAAAACGTATAAAATTAGAATGCGACAAATGAAGCTTCTCACACATTGCTATAGAATATAGAGATTTGTATTTGTTAATTGTGATTTTTAACCTATTATGCAAATGATTTGGTTAATTATTTGGATTGTTCTTTTTTGGCCTGCAAAAAAGATTATACATTCATTTTTATATAATGCAATTGATAAGATAAATTTTTTTTTTTTTATGAGCTTGTGTCATGAGTAACATGCACAAGGGTTGTAGGTGTTAGGTGTTTAAAAGGAATGGAAATGAAAAGTTAATGGTTAATGACAGGACGTGGTTTATTAGACCAACAGAGAGAGGGCATGTGGACAAAAAAGAATGTAACCGTTGAGCGTGCCCATCCCTCAAGCATGGGAAAGGTTAGGCAGCACTCGACACCATAATAAGAATTATAACTAGGGAGAGAAGCTCAGTCATTAACATTTATGCGACACAAAAGTTGGTCTCATCAATATTGTTAGATTTGACTGAAATGGCAGGGAACATTTAGAATGTCAATTACACGTCGCCATGTCACGAGAGACAAACACGAAGTTCTACGTAATCTATCAGAATGGCTTGATCCTTGAACGAAAAGACCGATCATGTGTCAAACTCAATGAGAAGAGCCATTAATACTTAGTCCCGAGAGTCGACATGAAGTTGTCACCGTACAAACTGACCAATCAGAGCAAACTTGAAGATGATCATGGTTATGTGACAAACTCAATTAGAATAGTCATTAATGCTTAGTCGAGAGAGTCGACAAGAAATTGCCACCGTGCAAACAAACCAATCAAAACTAACCTGAAGATGATCATGGTTTAATTCTCGATCTCAAGCATTAATGAACATTAAAAATGTTTTGCTAGGGTTCCAGGTGGACAACAAATGCACAGCTTGAGGCATAGTAAATGCATGATTCGAGGATTGTATCCCCCAAATTAGGAGGGATTGGCCCTTTTCTGTTCTGTGTACAATTGAATCAAGAGATTTCATTACTAAAAGGGTTCTCAGGCCATCTAGTTGGCCCACTAGACTCATTTTTGGCACAAGTCAACACCTTGAGGTATTAGTAGCCCAATAACTTTGGGCCTTAAGTATGCAATTCATAAATCAAAACTCTCATTAACTGTTTTCTCTCTCTCATCAACTAACTTGAGCGGTAGAGGGAATACACAAGATATAGATTCGTCCTCCTTTTAACCCTTTTTCTTATTGTAGAGCTATTCCAATACTCTTGGATGCAATTCAACTTTGGTGTCACTACCTCATTGGTCTACCAAATGAGCCCTTAGCCATTTTGTTTCTCCACCCAAATCTTAGACGAGATTTGAATCATGTTGAGTCTAGATATAACTTCAAACCTGGATTAAAAAGTAGGCTTAGTATGATTAAGTCACAATTAGGTCAAAAATTGGTATCCTAAAAATATGATAAAATCACATTTAGATTGGATAAGAGTAAATTAGACTTTACCCCTTAAATTATTACATTTTTTCACTGTACACCCTTAATTATAAAATTTATTTCATTTCACCTTAAAAGTATCAATTTTATTTCATATCACTTTAATAGATAACAACAAACTTAAAACTCTGTCAAATGAGGGAAGAAAACTCCAAAGAGTTTTCCACCAAATGCCAAGTTTACCCCTTTTGCAATCAAATAATTGTTGAGAAGAAAAAGAAAGTCGACCAGAGTAAATAAATTTGGAGCTTATGAAGGATAAAGTCATGGATATGTTTTTTTTTTTAACCTACACATGTGTAATAAACAGTTGCTTATTGATAGAACAGATCACTCTCATTTGCATTTACAGTTAAAAAAATTGTCACTTGTTATCTATTGGAGTGATATGAAATAAAATTGATAGTTTAAGGTTCAATGTAAAAAATTTTATAGTTGAAGTTATAAAGTGAAATAAGGATAATAGTTTATAGGGGTAAAGTGTAATTTACCCTCAGGATAATGATCAAAAACAATAATTAATCCGACTAATCAAATTCATATTTAGATTAGTATTTGTGCAGGCAAGCCTCCTGCCAGTTGGCAATAGGTACTATTCAGGGGATCCGGATGTATAATCGATCTGGTATGTTCTACTCCACTAGTGGACTTGATTGTCCCAGTAGCCAAACGATAGGATAGTTTGGTAGTTCTCTCCACCGACTATGTCAATTTTGCCGTAAAGCAAAGCCGACGCGCACGCCGTGGCATTCCAGACATGTGAACTACGCAAGGGAACCACTTGAATCCACGCGCTGACAACGAGCGTGATGATTAGTTGTTTCAGTTCATAGTCATCAATTCAAAACAGGGCACAAAATCCTCTCTCTCTCTCCTCTGAATGGGAACTATGAACTCTAGGGCAAAGTGGGCAGGTTAGAATTGTTAACAAGAAATCAAAATTCTTTGTATCTAACCGATTATCCTTTCTTAATTTTCAAAGTGGTAGGTGACTCTAAGCAAAGAATAAAGCCCTTTCTTGAATTTTTTAATTTCCTTATTTTTTTTCCCTAAATTCCACTTCTTGGTAATGATTTTTTGGGTAAATTTTACAGCTCAGATTCTCATCCAACACAATTATTATATTAGTATAGTACATGTTTCCTCTTTTTTATGCCATCTTACTGTAGATTATATTCCATCCTTATTCAGTTGTTTTCTTATTCTGTGGGTGTTCTTGTTGTTTACCCTTATCACCAATCCTGTCTTTGTCAATCACCCAGGTGTTTTTTTTACCAGAATATCTTAATTGCTTCCTTTTACTCAGTCTTGTATTTCAATTTGGCTTAATCTTCCAAGCTAACACTCTCTGTATTCTTATCTTTTGGTGCAGAGTTCTTCTGGGTCATCACTAAGTTTTTTCAAGGTAGAGAATCTCGTGGTCTTTTCCCATTTCTGGCCTATGTTTTCATTTCCTGTAGTTATTCTGAAACTTGGGGAAAGGGCAATATCCAGATTACTGGGTGTTGATAAATTGATATTGTTTATGTTTTTGTTTTTGTTTTCTGATCAGTGAGGCTTTTCGGGTTAGAATTCTTGTTCAATGGAAGAATTGGTTGGACCTCGTTTGTATAGCTGCTATAAATGTCGAAATCATGTTTCACTTCACGACGATATAATCTCTAAGGCATTTCAGGTGAAACATTTGATCAACTTAGCATCTTTCAGTTATAGTTTTCAACTATAAATAATGGTACTGTGGTATCATCTGGCCTCTCCTATGATGAATAGCATTGAATTCTGTATATGTGCACACTGGGATATTAAGATTTCTACACACTAATACTTTCACTAGAGATTGATGTATATATTGATTGAAAATAATAATACACCATGTCAGGTTAAGGATGCTGTGTATAAACAAGATGCTCAAATTAGTGTTAGGGAACAATGTTTTTTTCTCATATCCTGAAAGAATTCAACATGAATTAATGCTCATCTTTGTTTCTTTAGGCTTCGTTTACTATTTAATTTGTACAATAATATGACGATTATCTTTTGGTGAAAGATTGAATGATCATCCTGTTTCGGTTTGGAGTTTGACATAAGTTGGCATAAAGCTCTTCTTTGTTTCTTTAGGCTTCATTCACTAGTTAATTTTTACATTAATATGACAACTATATTTTTGCTGAAAGATCTAATGATCATCCTGTTTCAGTTTGAGTTTGACAAAAGTTAGCATATTTATGTTCAAAATTCTTTGTTCTTCATGGTTTTAGGGAAGAAATGGCCGAGCCTTTTTGTTTTCTCATGCTATGAACATTGTTTTGGGGCCGAAAGAAGATAGACATCTCACTACTGGACTTCACACAGTTGCTGATGTCTCCTGTGGAGATTGCCATGAGATGCTGGGATGGAAGTATGAGCGAGCTTATGAGGCAACACAGAAGTACAAGGAAGGGAAGTTCATACTTGAGAAGTCAAAAATTGTTAAGGAGAACTGGTAGTGTCGGTAAGAGTCTGTTTTCAGCTCATCCCATTGTCATGTAAGCTTGTCAATTCCTCCTAATTTTCATTTTGTACAGAAAATCCTTGTCCCATTGAAGAAATTGTCATTATATCAATCCGCTGATTTGATATCTGCCATGTTTGAAAGTTTATGTATCTTCATTTTCTTGGTTAATAAAATCGTGCCATTAGTCGTGTTCTCCATTCCCTATTGTGTTATCTTCTGATTTGATGCTTTAATGCTTTAATGCTCTCGACAAAGGGTGTATGTCGATTGCGATGCATCCGAGGATAGTTCTCCAAGCCTGTTTATGTGTTATTGTGCAGTTGTGGAAGGTTAGGCATTTGGTGGAGAAGCAGAGTAAAAACTGCTGGTAAATTGCATAAATGTCTTCAAGTATAGGCTTATTGCTACTGCCCTATTGGGGATTTTCACATAGCATAGGTGGTCGTCGGAGAAGAATATTTTAAAGTGTTCCAATCTTTATCGTTTTTATGCTTCTCTGGGATATGCTATCCTGGATTCATGATTGAAATTAATAGAAAAAAATCCAATTGGTATGTTTGCAGGTGAATTTTTTGAGGGAACTACAAACGATATCTCTCTCACTACCAGTTGATTCTTAGACCTACCCCGATAAAATATCGTTCACATACATTCATTTAGTAGAGGAATTGGACTTGAACTCAATTTTAAAGCTCGTTTGATGAATGAATTGAGTCCAAGTAATGGCCTGTTTGAGTATATATACAAATATGCATGTATAAATGAGTTGAGTTTGATCTAAATCATGTGTTTAAATTCAAATATAAGCTCTAGTTCTTTTTGTTTATTAAATTGAGTCTAATCGAGCCAAATTGAGCTGAACTTTATTTAGGACAAAAAAATTAATGAGTCAAGCTTGAATCACATTCTTGCGTCGATTCCACTCATTATTCTTGATCAAACGGGTCAAGGTTGAACAAACCTATGAACAATGTTACTTGTACTTGAAATACTGATTTGATCAATCACTCGTCGAATCAATTTGGTCCATTTGTACTCTCGTCAATGCTTATTTAAATTCGGGTCCTTTGAAAGTCGGTATACTAAATTAGACATAATTATAAAAAAATAATCAGAACAAAAATATTTTGGAAAATAGTACACAGTTAAGATACAAAAACATAAATGCTCATTTTATAAAAAAAATTTTCCTAAAAACTGTAACAAGACATTTATGTTAAGTGCTTAAATTTAGGGTCATTTAATTCGAAATCTCTAATTCATCTTAATTCATTCATATATTTTTTTTGGGAAAGTGGTTTTGTTTTCAAATTATATTTATGCATTAAATATCTTCTAGTTTTATGGAAGAATTTTAATATTACGTTTATTTTAAGATATATCACTTTGTTTGAATTTCAAAATTTGTTAATATCCAAACTTCATAATAGTGTAGCAATAAACTGTAATAAAAATAATGTTCAGTGGTTTTGTGCATGTGATAACAAATTTAAAATAGAGATGAACTGTTTTGAATGAAATTATATGAAAATATATGTTTGACAAAATGTAATAGTACAATATTTTTGTGTAAATGTTTTGTTACACTGTTATGAAGTTCGAATATTAATATAATTTGAAAACAAAACCACTTTTCAAAAAAAATACATATGAATCAAGGGAGGATATAAAAATATGAAATATTAAAATTCTTCCATAAAATTAGGACATGTTTAATGCACCACTTTTCAAAAAAAAATGCACATGGATCAGGGTAGGATATAAAGGTCAGAAGAAAATATTAAAATTTCAAATAATGTACTTGAAAACAAATAAGTATCAAAATTAAAATTTTTTTTATCCTATATTTTTTTCTATGTATTTTCAATTAACTCCCATTTAGTGTATCCCTTTCAATTTCCCCTTTAAATTCTACAGCTAATGTCAAATATCCCAAAAATCACTTCTTTTCCATATAAATTGGGCCTTTGATCTAGAAGTGACCCAACTTTATCCAAAGTTTGGGCCTTAGCCAATCTAACCCAGCCTGATGAATCCTACTAACAGCAAACTGAGACGGACGTGCAGAGGGGGAGAGAGAGAGAGAGAGAGAATGTACCTGAAGAAGCCGTTTTGGAGTGATGGTCTGAACTCGAATTCGCAGACTCAGTCGGAATCGCCAGTGTCAGAGCTGGTGAACGCGCTGGATAAGCAGAGACTCTACAGAGAGGTCACTCTCGCACTCCGAACTGGACTCAGAGACGCACGTGCCGAGTTCTCGTTTCTCCGCGTCCGTGGCCTTAAAAGTATACTCAAGTTCCTCCGATCTGTTGCCGAATCTGACTCCACCATCAATCTCTTCTGCCATAGCCAATCCATTACTGACCTTCAAGGTTCCATTCTCGCTGTTCATTTTTTATGACCTAGGCCTTAGGGTTAGTTCGATGCAATAAGAGATATATATATATATATAACTGTGGCGTTCTTTGTTTGATTGTCGATAGTGATGGAGGAAAATGAAGTTTTGTTTTCCCTTTTTCTTCAGTATTGATGTGGTTGCTGGGAAGATGAAATATACTGTATGAGCAGAAAGATTCTCTTTTGTGTGGAAGAAAAAGTAATTGAATTGAAATTAGAAAGATCTTGAGATTTATACGGATTTGGTTTCCGGAATCTGAAATTTTCTCCTTAAAACGTGTAGTTGTACTAGGTTCAGTCCTGCTGGAATATTTTGGTTTTCGTTCGCCTAGTAATTACAATACAAGTATGTGGCCTAGAGCTTATACATGTTCTTTAATTTTCTAATTGAAGGTATGTTGTTATTAAGTGAGATTGTATATACTCAGTTTGAAAGCCAGTTCTATGATTTATGTTGAGTGTAAATGATAATTATATAATCTTACGCAATTGAAATTGGTAATTTACAACTCATCTCATGTGATATAATGGTTCGATTTCTGGAAAAATCTTAGTTGAAATTCGAAGTTGGATGGGGCTAACTGTTCTTGGATTTGATATGCACCAGTGATTCCAGTTCTGTTTGAGCACTCGTTGAAAGAGTCGGAGGATCAGAGGGTAGCAGATCTGAATCATATATTCACTGTTGAACCCTTGAAGATAACTAGTCCTTCAACTGATTCTGAAGTTGCGCTTGCACTTCGAGTTTTAGAAGGATGTTGTTTGCTTCACAGAGAAAGCACAATTTTGGCCCATCAACACAAGGCAATTCCGGTAAATATGGCTTTGATTACTATGTCACTTACTTTCCAAATAGTAGTTTTTCGACTTGAAACGTGTGATCCATTGAGAATGATTGTTGTCCTTTTGTGATAGGAATTGCGAAGTACAAGCTGAACATAAAGGGATTGTGTTTTGCTGCTTTTGTTTCATATCTCATCCCATGGTGCATTTTAAATAAATTAAAATTAATTGACTTGTTTCGCGATACCAGATCAAACTTTGTTTGATATACGCAGGTTTTAATGAATATTTTATCAACTCGAGGAGTACTTGAGCAAGGTGCATGCTTAGATGCTTTAATCTCAATAATGCTAGATTCATCAGCCAATCAAATGGTATGCTATTCCTTATATACGTGCTTGTTTTAGATACAATCAGAATCTGGTAGTATTTGTGTTATGCCTGCTTCTTCTTTTCTTTTTTTGAACCGAGTGTTACTTATGCCTACTAAGGTGTTTTAGCAGGATGCTATCACTAGGTTTCATCCCGCACAAAGTTTCACCAATACCCTCCCCCTTTGTAACAAAACTTACGACTGCCCAGCCCCTAACTTCCTTTTGGACATCGTTGAACAAAGGCGGTCGCATCTGACAAACAGAGTACAACAAGTATATATCTTCCGCTATAAGGGAGAATTTAAGATCAGAGAGTTGCTATCTAGTGGTCTCTAGTTTCTTGCTTTCCACCATGATCTAATGCTAGCTTCCAATCACTCCCCCATATCTTCGCCATTCACTGAAAAGCCCATGTCTTGTAAGAATGGTAGCTGCTGCTTCTGCCAGGGATCTCAAGATAAATAGAAGATTCGTGGTTTAGAGAATTAGAGCAACAAATGAGTTAACGAGTACCTATTTTTTTGTAAATCTTCTTGAACCACACTTTGTATAGTGTTGAATAATGAAGTCTTGTCTATACATTCCATATATGTGTTCCTTTTTATGTGTATTGGCTAATGATGTACCAGGATTTTGAGGCATGCAATGGCATTGAGGAAGTAGCTATACTCATAAGGGACAAACAAGTTGATGAGAATCTAAGGTATTTTGGCATTTATTAGTTTGAATTCCATTTTGTACCATATTTTGCATACCTTGGTGCCCCCCCCTTCTCTTCTTTCAAGATGATGAATCCACCCTGTTTAAAAAAGAAAAAGAAAAAGAAAAAGAAAAAGAGGATCAATCCACCAAATTCAGCTAGTGTCATCGTTGACATGATGTATGTTGATGTAAAACTTTGTCTTTATCATCCTCTTTGATCTTTTTGGAGTTTATTTGATGAGGTAAGCTGGTGACTATCAACTTCAAATTTCATGTAGCTTCTTCACCTTCAAATTACTGATGACGCAATGGTCGATGTGAGTTTTTTCAAAAGATACTGATTGGAAACTAATATATCATCTGATTAGGCTGAAATGTGGGGAGTTTTTGCTGCTGCTCATTGGACATGTCAATGGGAGAGAAAGGGCTCCCATGGCAACAATACATGAAGACGTCAGGCGGTTCTTGGGCGAAAAATCTGCCTCCTTGATTTGGGCTGCCAGCCAATTTGGCTCAACCCTTGATCCAGAGCAAAGACTCACTGCTCTGCATATTCAAGCACGCAGGGTTCTTGAGTCACTCGATCTATACTGAATACAAGCATATGAAAATGGTTTCAGCTCTGCCGTTTCTCGGGCAGTCCCCAATATTCTCCAGAATACAAACAGGCTAGGTCCTTTTCTAGTGTAGATTGAATAGGGTGATTGTGTAATTGCTTGATTGGACAACTATGACTAGGAGCAGCAAAAATTTATGCTAATCTTGTTCCAGTCTCATATGAATTGTTAAGTTATCCAAAATGTCATATATCTCTTGTGCTCGCTTGTGAGATCTGTCACATGCTACAAAGATATGAATCTCATCCGTGTCTTCAATCCAACTGCATCCGGGATTTTTGTGCATCTGTTTATCCTTAATCATCTGTCTTGTTCTAGCTAGATCGCACCACCTGCCTGCTGAAGCATATAGATTTGCCATCATGACATAATTTCCTGTGTTATCTGATTCCAATTCTATGAGCATGTTTGCTGCTATTTCTCCTAAATCAACGTCACCGTGGATAACACAGCCTCCAAGCAAGGCACCCCAAATCACTGAATCAGGCTCCACAGGCATATTTTGAACAACATTGTATGCTTCATTTAGCTGGCCTGCACGGCTTAGGAGGTCAACCATACATGTGTAGTGTTTCAATGTAGGGTTCACGTCATAGTACCCCATCAAATTGAAGAACTGTTGTCCTGTGTCAACCACTCCTGCATGAACACACGAAGAAAGAACTGACAGGAAAGTCACGTTGTCTGGTCGAAAACCATTAATCAGCATTTCACGAAAGAATGTGATTCCTTCATAACCATGTCCATGCATGGCATAAGCAGTAAGCATTGCATTTTGGGTCACCAAACTAAGGCTTGTGATCCTATCATAAGCCAGGCGAGCGTGCTTTATACTCCCGCATTTTGCATACATGTCCACAAGTGCTGCTCCAATATAGGCATCTGATTCATACCCACGTCTGATTGAATGTGCATGAAGCTGCTTCCCTCGCTCAATTGTCGCCAACCTTGAGCAGGCAGGTAAAACTATTCCAACTGTGTAGATATCAGGCCTCAAATTTGAGGTCTGCATCTCAGAAAACAATTGCAGAGCTGTCTCATGGTGGTCATTTTCCACATGACCCACAATAATTCCATTCCATGTGTATACATTCGGTTCAAATCCATCTTCTTTCATTTCCTGGAGAATACTCTGAGCATTTTCAATCTCATTGCAGCGGGCATAGCCAGAGATCAACGCGTTCCATGTTGCCATATCCCTTTGATTTACTTCATCGAAAGCCATCTGAGCAGCCTTCAGTTCCTGGCATTTACAGTATAACTCTACCAATGCTCCACCCACAAATGTATTGGATTGCAGACATCTAACAATCGCCTGGGCATGTATCTCCTTTCCTCGTCTTAAGAACTCCATATCAGCACAAGCAGCAAGGGCACTCCCTAGAGTATAAGAATCGGGTTCAACCCCTTTTTCCATTACTAAATCTCGAAACATGCTCAAGGCTTCATCGAACATGTAGTTATCCACATACCCCGAAATCATTGAGTTCCACGAAATTATATCCTTCTTCATTCCCACCAGTTCCATCTGATCAAATAGCTCCTTTGCCTTGGAAATTTCCCTATTCTCACAATTTCCGACGATCATGGTATTATAAGATACTCCATTTTTTACTGAAAATTTTGAGAAGATCTTGGTAGCACTAACCATATCAGCACACCTTCTATAAATATCAACCAACCCATTCACAACAAAAGGGTTAGACATAAATCCATGTCTAACTATATAACCATGGATTTCTTTTCCTAGGCTTAGCTTTTCCAATCTAGCACAAGCAGGAAGAACGCTTGCTAGCGTTCGTGCATTTGGTTCAAACCCTGTAGCTTGCATTCTATATAGCATCTCAAATGCTTCTTCATCATACCCGTTTTGGGAAAAACCACCAATTACAGCACTCCACGAAACAAGATTGGGTGTTAATTTATCCTCCAACGACATTTTCTTCAGAAAGTCTAATGCCTCATAAACCATACCATTGGCAGCACACGCTGTAGCTATGGAATTCCAAGAAACACAATCTCTCTCAGGCATTGTATTCAGAACCTTCTTAGCATTATCCAAGCTTCCACATTTACCATACATGTCTATCAAAGCATTCCCCACATAAATATTCGACATAAACCCATTCTTTATCACAATCCCATGAAACTGCCTTCCCAAATCAACCCCACCAAAACCACGACAAACCTTCACCACTATCGGAAACACGAAGAACTCCAACTCAACATCCTCAAACTGCAATTCTTGAAAGAATGAAAACGCTTCCTCCAAAAAACCATTATCAACATATACACTAATGATGGCCGTCCAGGAATATAAGTTTTTCACAGGCATTTTATCAAACAACAGAGCTGCGTCACTAAAACATCCACGTTTCCCATACATTTGAAGTAACTTGGTGTCAACAAACTCATGCCCGTGAAATCCATTTTTTACGGCGTGAGCATGGACTTGTTTACCTACATAGAGGCATTTACAGGACTCAAGGATTGAAGCGTAAGTGCTCGAATTTACAGGGCCATCAAGAATATAATGGTGGGTGTGGAGAGAATGAGATTTGTGTTGTTCTTGTGTAAGTTTTGGTTTTGGGAAGGAGAGGATAGAGGTCTTGGACCCCTGGGACGGTGGTGGCAGTGTTAGTGGTGGTGGCTGAGCTATGGCTTCGAACAGCGTGGCCATTTGGGCTCATTGAAAGAACACAATGGCAGAGTTGGAGAAGTGAAGGAAATATCCTCTCTCTCTCTCAACAATGCCAAAAACAAATAAAAAATAAAAAACAAAACGAACGTGACGTAATATAAGAAGACGTTATTCAAAATAGAAAATATAGATTTACCGTAGTATTAAATTCGAAATTTGACAATTCTTTTAAAGTCAGATTATGAAAGATTTATTTCTCGTAAAATTTTCTAATCCCGACATGAATGATTTATCATTTATTGAACACAAAAAAAAATATTATTCAAACATTCCTGGTCGAAATATTAAAAAATAAAAAATGTTAGACCGACAAAAATATGGAACCACTAAACTGATAATGATTGTACTTACCATAAAATTCGATATCGCCAAAGTATTTAGTTGTAGACACCTTAATCCCATTTGGCATATTTATAATTATTGATTTGTAAAAAAGATAAAATAAAATAATAAGACAAAAATCTATACATGTCACATTTAAATAGTAACAAAAATTATTTTTCGATATCAAAATGGAACATTAAAAATATCGTAATGGACATTGTCTCATAATTTTTAGTCCATTAAAATTGACTAATGCATAGATGCTGCCATTCGACCCACATATGAACTCAGACAATGAGTGCAATGCTAGATTTAAGAGTGACAATTATAAATACGTCAATTAAAACTGATAACTCTCAATAGGATTTGTCAATCTTATACAAAATCGACCTGAAACAACCAAATATGAGTATAACCTCGACATGTTCGAACTAACTACTGACAAGCTAAATCAAATAGATGGACTAACATTCAGTATACACCACAATAGATGATCGTGAATCAATTAAAATTTGTCAATCCACATGACCCATTATCAATCTCAAATGGAATCAAGCTTATAAACAAGTCACAAAACATTTGAGTGTAATTTCCAAGCTCTTCTATTAATAAAATCCAAGCAGTCTTACAATACATACTTGTCTTGTGAGCAACATCACATAAATTAGGCACAACATTTGTCTTTGTACAAGCACTACTTTGCAACACAACAACAGGCACAAAATATCTTTGCTGGCAAAAAATAGGGAAGCGGAACATATCTGTATGGAAACCGACCCTGATATGATCCAAGACATCATATGGAGACCTAAGCCCAACGGAATATCAACCAATGCCAGAAGAAAAAAATGGTACCATTGCTGAACTCGGTGCCAGAAAGCTCTCAATGGATGCTTTGCACATTTCTGGAGCTAACAGAAAAATAGATACAGTTTCCAAACAGAAGCACAGGGTCCATTGCTAATCAAGCACAATATTATTGGTCTTCCAAGTTATTCATTTAGCTTACAAACATTGATGAACTTCTGTACTGCGTTGTGATATTGGGTTCCCTGCAACAGTATAATGCACAGAAAACACATTAGCAGAGTTTTGTAGCTTACTCATTATCTGCTCTGAATCACCGTAACAAGCAGTTTTTGACAAGTTTTGAACTGAATATATAGCAGCCATGAATCCTAATGGGAACACTTATCTGATGTGGGCCTCTAATCCAGGCTCTACAAGTCTATTCTTGTGAGCGCCAAGTGGGACTACACCCTCGTTGTGTCATGCAAGGGAACACAGCGTACCCAATAACAAAGCAGGAGATAAACCCGCACTAGAAAAGGAGAGGGTTTGGACATTGGATTCCTCTCATCAAATAAAAATGTTAATTCACATGAGTTGTATGTCATCTTGCATGAGATTTGGATAACATATACCCGCTCACTCTGTACTCCCACAACTAAGGTCCACAATTTGCCAGCATTATATCACCCATCATGAATGATGGTTGTCTTGACAAGTCAAAGTTGAGTGGAGGAAGCACTTCAATGAAGGATAAAGCACACCCTGGTCAGGAGGCCAGACCACAGAGAATGATGTAAAAATGGCACTAGGGTTTTCCTTGCACTACAGTCCATCAGTGCTTTGGCAACCCTGTCAACCACTGCTGCCATTTCAGCACAGGTGAGAGGGTGCCCGTGATGCCAAAACGAATGCATCCCTTTGCTTTCAAACCAACCCTCAAATTAGTCCTCTGCTCCTTTTATTTTGCTTAGTAGGGGGTTAGAGGAGAAGAAAGAAAAAAAAAAGGCCCAAATGGAAAAACTGTTTAAGCCCCTGGAACTCTGCTCCAAATCATGTAGCCACCAAGGTGTTCGAACTTGAAATATGCTTATGATGTGTCCGAAAATTTAACATGGATGCAACATAGAAATTTTGTCATGTCAGGCAGTGATGGATCTTTTTATATTAGTGCAAAAAGAGATAACAATAGAAATCTTCTCTATTGTCATGCTCTGAAACTATTATGTCAGTATCGCAAAGGACGGGCTTGCTCAAAAGCTGGGTTGAATGATTGGAGTTTGATAGTGTTTGGTTGACAATATAATTCTTTTAGGATTTTTTTTTTGTGTGCGCTCGTTTTTTTTTTTTGTCATTTTTTTTTTTGAAGGGGGGGGGAGGGGGGGGGGGTAG